CCAAAAAAAAAAAAAAAAAAGTTCTGAAAAATCTTGGCTAAGAATTACAGCACAGAGTAACGCTTATGCTCAAGAATCATTTAGATGCATCAAAATGAGTACTATAGTACAACTTTCGTGTTCGACGTGTGCAAAAAAAGTCCATGAGGAGCAAGAAGCACCGTGAGTGTACACCCATTTATCTAATTATATTTTCGCTCATTTCTTACTGATTATTTAATGCGCTATATTGAAATGCAAAAGTAGCAGTGCGGGAAAATACTGTTTCTGTAAACTGCCGAAATTGAAACGTTATATCACAGTTTAAAATCAGAAAGAATAAACGCGAGCTGCGGAAGGGTTGTTTACCAGAGGCAAGCTTCCAGCGAGGAATAATTTGAGTTGAAATTTCGAAGTGGCGGCATGGGATGTTGAACCACCAAGTGATACTTTCGTGCTGTTGGCTAAGCAAAACAATTTCCAATTTTTAACACACCCATTTTTTAATACAACTTGAAGTAAATTAAGTAAAAATAAAAAATTAATTTAAAAATTAAGAAATCAGTAAATACTAAAACGTTAGTAACCAAAATTAATCAGCAATTAATTGACAGTTAAAATATTGTCAATTAAAATTAATAAATAACTGAATTAAATTAGCAAATCAAAAATTCTTATGATTTCGAGAGCTGTTCAGTCCATATGGAAAAAAGATCATACCGTGCTGAATCCAAAATACAGTTTATTGGCAATCAATGCCCCCTAAGAAGGCATTTGAGCTTCTCGGCCTGCCATGGAGAGGTTTGTTTTTTTAGTACCACCATGACTTGGATTAGCTATTTTTTTTATTGCTTTTCCAATATTTAGGCTAAAATTTTGAAATTAATTCTTCGACGTTTTATCCTCCCGCTTGGTTCATTATAAAACACCAGTAGCCAATTTTTGCATGAAATAAGATCCTATAAAGCTCGATCTAGGAATAAAAAATGGAACCTTGTAATCCATCTCTTGGCTCGAAATGGATAGCATACTCCGAGATAGCGATGCACTGACACAAATAATGTTAAATAAACGCCACATGTTTGCGCTATCCTGGCCAGTGGATAACTGAACCTGAAATTTATGCCTACAACATACTGCACTAGTATAAAATTCTTCAGTTAACACTGCAGTTCAGTACAATCTGACTTTTTGTCTGCAGCAGCACCACGATCCAGAAATGCAACATCTCGCATACACATTATCTTAAGAAAAAATTCTGCTATATTCCATGTATTTTGTAGGAAAATTACATTACTTTGCTACGCAGGGATCATAGTCTCAACCTACCTATGTTAAAGCGTGAAGGCGGATGTGGGAACAAAGGAAAATTTAAATCTCATTACAGATTACTCAGACTTTTTATTGCACTGTTAGCTAAATCCAAAAATTTCGATTTCTTAACTCACGATATTCTGGAAGTTCTAAAGCTGACGAGAAATTGGACCGGATATTACAGGCGGTCAGGAAAAACTGGTTTTTGAATTTTTTCCAGTCATTCAGGCTCCTTAACCAATAAGCTTAAAATTGATTTCTAGTTTATGGGATTATCGAGAATTTTGGCCTAAGTGGTAAATTACACAAGGTAATATATAACAAATTCTTGCACAATAACATTTAACTCACGCAGCACGGTAAACTAACCCTCACACTTCGATTTATTAGTTTTGTTTTTTTTTCTCTATCGTACACCACACTATCCCGAAAACGCACTTCGTCTTCTTGACTGTTGCAGTTCTGAACTTAAGTATTCGGACACGCTACATATACATATATATGTTTGTTTACTTATTTATTCACTTATTTATTTATCCGAATATATTTACAAACAGCATCTTCCATAAAGTTTACCAGCAAAAGACATTAGTGGAGGAATTTTTCTTCTCCAATTTTCAGAATATCATGCCTTTTAATGCAACAGTTTCTTGTTTCAGCAGGGCTTATTCACGACTAGGAAATCGCTGGAGAGAACCAAGCTGGATTTGCTCGGCTAAACCAGACTGAGGATTTGTGAATGTTTTGCGCATTTTTTTTTTTTTTGAAAATGGAGAAGCAGAAAGGAAAGCTGCTGGAGATAAGGGCGGCAAACCTGAGTACGATGGGGTAGATGTCGTGGAGCATGAATGATTTCGAGAGCAGTGCAATCACCGGAAAGATGAGGAAAAAGAAGTTGAAGATGAGCAGTAACAGGTCGGTGGCACTGATCGAGAGCAGAAATAAATTGACCAAACTGCGCCTCATATCAGCGTGCAAAAAAACAACAATATTGATGATGTTGGTGAGGATTCCAAATATTGAAATGGGCAAATTGCCGAGTAAGCGATAGGCCACTTGATCCTCCGTGAAGATTCCTTCCAGGCACACTAAATTGCTGTTGCTGTTGTGCAGAACGGATACCAGCTCCTCCTCGCTCATCGTCATTCCCTTTTACATCCTGTAATTCTGTGAAGTTTCTCAGATTCGAAAAACAACTGCTTGACTGTCTCCCGATCAGTTTCGCGCAAGTAATTCGCCATCAGAAGTGTGCCCAGTCCACTGACACATTCAAATGCAAATTGTTGGAATGCTTACTGCAGACTGAAAAGCGTGAAAGGAGTGAGTGTTGGGAAATTTCACATCGAGCCATTACGTCAAAGGCTAATCCCACCGTAGAACTGCATGCGTTTGATCATTCAACAATCCCATTTATCACGATGCAGTTAGGTCCGTTTGTACACACACGCAGATCTAACTACAATATGATACATGTGCGTTTCACTAGGACAGTTTTGTGGACATCGTCACAACGAGTAGAATCGGTACACATATACTGCAGGACTGGTCACTCAAAATTTCCACTTTGATAGCGGATTTCATTTAAACCAGAGCACCGGATTTACCAGGTATTGCCATTCTGCAATAGAAACGATATTTTATCGTACGTTTCCCTAGAAAGACAGGAGCTGAAGGAGCGGCTAAGAGAAGTGGGGCTGGAGAGAGGAAAGCAGTGCTTGTTCTAGAAGTCCTGGGAAAAGCCGTAAAAGAAGTGCGTATGTGCAAGTGGAAAGAGCATGGGCATGTGGACTACAAATTATGTGGAGCATAAGGACTGTGACGTAGTGCTGCGTTCGGGCGTAAAGAGAAGTAGCCCGATTTTTTCCCAGTTCAGAAAAATTTTTGAGAAAAGGCTCCGCTCGTGACACCCTTTTATTTCCAGACTGTCATTTCCCCGACAGTTTCTCAACTCAGGAGCTTCAACATGATGCCGGGGTCATACAAGCAGTGTCCCAAGCACAGCAGGCAAAACTAGGGCTAATAATCTTGGTCATTTGATCAGAGATCTTTCAGGCATTACTGTACCTTGAAAGTAGTAGCTCCCTTGCATTCTTATGCTTCTCCAGTGGGGTGTACGGCATGGATTCCAGTAACACTTCCTTCACTTAGTCGCACTATTCCTCGCATTGCTTCTCCAACTTTCAAGCATTCATCGCCTCAAGCTAACTAGCTTCGTTAGGAACACGTTCACATCAAATCACAATTACTTCTATTTTTCTAATACATTTGCATAAGTGATCACAAAAATACATTGTGAAGTCGTGGATAATCCGTGCATTTCTGCCTGTCCTGACAGTTCAGATCCAGAACTACTAAAGCTAAGCAGCTAAAATCTTGGAGTATTGTTTTATGCCATACGCGGATTCAGGCGTGCAAAGTCCACTTTGACTTTACATTTTGAGGAAGGGAAAGTGGATGGTTTGGCATCAATAAATTAGTTTGCGGTGCTAACACAAAACGATATTTCAGCCTTTTACTGCAACTGCGTTGCAACTTATCGTCCCATAAACAGCTTAGAAAAATTGCCACGATAAGTTACAACGAATTCCCATGTGATTCGGCGCATTCCCCCAGCGTAAGTTCGCAGAAGTGAAATGCTAAAACTATCAAAAGCGCGCCACCATCTATTAGTTTTAGCTGTAACTTTGCTGAAATAAATGATCAGCGTTTCACACGCTTGGCACCTACTTAAAATCCATCGTGTATATTCTGCAAACAAGAAATTTGCGTGTCAGCGAAGTTGATTATATTTTTTGACAGCATAATTTTTAACAAAAAGTGCAACGAGAAGTAAAAGTGCACGGTCACGAGGGCATTGGGGAGAAGCGGGAAGCAACTTAGGCCAATAATATCAACAGCTGCTATATACAAACCCATTATGTGCTGCCTATGACAGCTGCTGAGATGTCATATGAGGTGCCATTATTATTGTTATTTATCACTATTATTGTTATCATCGTTACTGGATGACTTATCCTGTGAAAGTTCTTCAAATGAAATTTTGAGTAGTCAGAAAGGCGAAATTCAGCTGAAGAGACAGAAATGGCGGCGAGGAATGGAAAGAGAGATGCTAGCTGAATGGTACTGAATTACCCTAGAATGCAAGTAACCAATTTGAAAACGTTAAATTCTGGATCTTGGTTCAGTGGATGCTTGGATGCTCTCTTGTCAACGAGAGACAGCATAATCTTCTTTAACTTTTCAATACAGTACCAAGAGCAATATGAGCGTACCCGCAGTTACGTGCTTCAACACTTAGATTTTGAAGGTGCGCTCGTCGAGCACTGAAAAAGATATTTCTCTAAAACCTGTGGTAAAAGTGTTAGCGGCCTGAGCCGCTGAAAATTAATCCCACATTTTCATTTCCTCTGAACCACGTAACACCAGAATCAATTTAAAAAGAAAAAACTCGGTTCATGTTTGTATTCAGGACAAAAACAGTTAACGGAATTCTGGGGAATTAACTGAAGGAATAAGGAAGACTGAGGAAGTGTCAGAAATGTGCAGATGAGATATCTCATTGTTTTGTGGCTTACAGAGCCTTTGCGAAGTAGTCGACTTAACTTTGAAAAACCGATACCGAGAAAAACAAAGAGATTTCAGATGGAGTTGGAGGAGCAAAGTGAAGAGACGCGTAGGAACTGAAAGCTTATGTAGGTTTACACAATGGCTCCTCCCTGTGTATCCATCTTTTTAGATGTGAGCCCATAAAATTGCAGAAAAACGTGAACGATTGCAGCGATATTTATGACCTAGTTCATTTCCACCCTTAAAACAAATACTGCCGTTTCATTCGGTTTGAAAAAATTCAAGGCTGATTTCAAATTATTCAGTTTTTATGCAAATCTAATTTAAAGAGATGTGTTTTGATTGATTAACATGATGTGCTCTCCAGAAACGAAAAGTTACTATATTTTTTATCCAGCCAATTTTTTTCTTAGACGGTAGAATTTTGTTAAAATTCGACTGCATGCTGCTCGGCAATAATTTCTCCTCAACATTCAACAGTAAAAATAATTAAGAATCTAAAAGTTTTGCGGTTTTTGAAGAAGCACTGAAGTTTTAATGTGGGTTGTTTCGAAAGAACCTGAGGGTCCTTTTCCCACTGTTGGCACTGCTTAAGCTGGTTCCAAACCTAATATGACTTTAACGTAATAAGAGACGAGGGAGCTGGACGGATAAGGAAAGCCACGTAGGAATTTCAGTTTAGTAGTACAATGGCTACTTCGGCGAGGACCTACGATGTTCATTTTGCGAAGCAAGTTGCTCTATTAGTCTGATAAACTCTAAAACGGTGTAGCATGACGGCTGGGACAGACGAGAATTCCACACTTGGATAAAAAAAAATATCAAGGCCACTTGACTAGTAAGCAGTCAGATTGAAGGAGTTCGACTAAAAAAAGTCTGATTGGTAAGCACCAGGAATGGAGCCATATTTTCGGGTGGGCAGTTATGAAACATTTCCGTAAAATCCCAGCTTCCTAGCTTATCTAGCCGCGGATTTGAAAGTGGGGTCAAAATCCTAATGCATGTGCACATATGCAACAAATTCGCTACAGTTTCTGCATTTTTACATTCCATCAATGATGCAAATACGAATGTTTTGTGTTGCAATACAGAATTTCCATTATCCGACAAAGTTATTAAACTTTAATGATTTTAAATAATAGAAGACAGTTTAAAGCGTTTCAGTAATTTTCTGCATTAGTCAAAAAATTTAAAAATGAATGTTAAAAATAAGATTGCGGAGAAATGTCCTTTGCAGATTAAAGTTTATAAAATTTTGCTCTCAAAAGTTCACTTTGCGATTATCGGAAGATGAAAAGAGAAAACTTCTTTAGTCCAGCCAAATAATCTCGAAAAATCAGTAATCAAAACATTTGAAGACGCTTTGTTTGAGATTCTTATGTAAGGGACGAAAAGAAAAAAAGTTGAATCATGATGTGGGAAAGTTTAAGATGTGAAGAATCCAGGAATACCTAAAGTATTGCTGTCTTTTCCGCATACCGAATCTCCCTGCACTCGATTTATTGATGCTTCACATTCACATTCAGTTTTGCTAAATAGTTTTGGAAGGGCCCAGTACAAACGTTTTCGCTTCTCTTAACGATGGCATGTTGAAGAGGCTTTGAGTTTGGTTTAAATTTATAAAAAATTTTCTTTTTCTTCAGCAATCGAATATTCCTGGCAAAGATTTTCGTCGTAAAATTACAAAGTGCCCTATTTCTTCAGGAAATCATTCGTAACGTTTGGTGGCGGTTCTTTGTAGATGTTCGATAATTTTTTATTATGCTCATATCGTCATACCATTTTTGGTATTTATTAAGAATTTTGTCAGCATCTCCGATTAAAAATGCCTTTTGCTAAAATGTTGCCGAACAATTGCCTGGGCTCATTATAAGCCCATGGGATACTTATTAGTGGTACCGGCGTTGTTGAGAAATTTTGCAAAAGCTTTATCATGGAAATACAACATGTTTTTTTTTATGGCCCAAGTAATACAAATCACATTTTGTCAATACGTAGGTAAATTTACGTCGCTGTTTCTTTATCTATTTTTCCCAACCACAAGTGATTGCTTGATAAGAAAATAAGCTAATTCATTTTGATTGTTGGCAAACCTAATTTCGCAGTCCATGAGAAAGATTATGTAAGCCGACTTTGTCTATGCGTAAGCGAATTTTCCTCACCAGCAGGAGAATTTTGCAGCATAGGCTGAAAATTTCAGGATCCTGAAGCAATTCCAGAAACAGCGCAAGGTTTGTCAGCAGCTAATTCGCGGGTTATCAAAATCTGCTCTGCCGCTGCTGTTAACAGGCTGTTTTATTGAAAATCTAATGAAGTGTCGCTATGACTGTTTTGATTTTCCTGCAAAAGAAATGTGTTTGTAACTGTCCTCTCGCGCTTGCAGCTTCCTTCCTTTGCTAGCGCTTTTCTGATTGTAAACTATGAATGCAAAAAAGAATTCATGCCGGACGATTTTTTATTAACAAAAAAACCGCAAAAATCTTGGAAATATCCACTGTTTCACCCGCCACATGAAGTTTAGAAGCATGTTTTTAATGCAAATTGGCAAAGCGTCTCGAAGTTTTTAGCCTACCATGTTT